ATGTTATATATATATATATATATATATATATATATGGGTTACGTTAGGATGCTCACACTATGAAGTAATTTAATATTATACTCCACAAATTTTGGACACTTCTATACCCTTGTTTTGTACATAGAGCATTATTTTAATAAGGGTATTTTTGATAATTATGAGGGTGTGATATCATTCACATGGGGTGTGACATCAACCACATGGACTACATTAGTGGCATTTAATGCTCTATGTGGGTGACGTCACGCTCCATGTGGATGACGTCACACTCTTTATAATGACCCTTATTAAAAAATGCTCCATGTACAAAACAAGAATATAGAAGTGTCAAAAATTGTTAGGTACAATAATAAATTACTCCATAGTGTGAGCACCCTAACATAACCCACACGTGATTACTTCAACTCCTATATGGGAAGGTGATTCCTTTTCGATTTAGGAAATTCATGGGATCCCAATTGAGTGGGCTACTACTCAGTAAGTCCTAAATATAAAAGGGCTGGGATAGAGAAAGACAACACATATTGGATTCTTTGGTTTTCTCTATATAAAGGTAATTATTTAGAGAGATAAGTAGTGTAAAGAGAGAGACTAATAAAAGGGTGAGCTTTCTTGAGCCTTTAGATAGGTATTCTAGATAGTGAAAACTTTATTTAGGGCTTTTGAGAGACTTTCTAAACTCTTGTATCCTCCACACTTGCATGATATTTTTTTGATTATTGGAAGAGAAAGTTTACAGCCATGTGGATGTAGGCAATTGCCAAATCACGTAAGTCTTTACTAATTTTTGTACAATTTTTCTTTCCTCCTTGGTTTTACCTAAACCTTGATTTTAATTATCAAAACAATAGGTTGGACTTAGTTCTGGTTCCCCAGTCAAAGGAAAAGAAGATTAATTATACTTTGGGCAATTTGTCCTACTCAATGAACAGTCCCTATAGGTTGCTACACAAACTTTATAAATAAGTTATCTCATGGTTATCATAGAGATAAGAAATTGCTGCTCGTTGATTTGTGAAGTAGAGTAAAGTAAGTAGTCTTTACAGCTTGTCTAGGAAAAATGAGGCAGAAGAATACTAGTTACTGGTCTGATGTACGGTAGACAGCTATTCATTATCCACGCTTGGCACTTGATTCATGGTGAACTCAAATGTCATATCCATTATTTTTTCACTTTATAAGTTTGTGCCGATTGGATATATTGATCATCTATATGTGCTTGTAAGTCCGCACACAAAAATCAATGTATTTTTGTCTTATACATTTTTTTTATGTAGCCGCCTATTTTTTGGGAAAAGGCTTTGACAATGATGACGATGATGATGACATGTTTTTTAGGTAGTTTTTCATTATTGCACTTGAAAATACATTTTTATTATGACCAAAACTACTTCTAGCTCAAAAAGTGTATTCTGGGATTTGAAAAGATGCAGTGTTCATTTAAATACTGTTCACAATGATTTTAGGAATATATGTCTGCATGGAGTAAAATTTAAATGCTTGTCAATCTATTTGCAGGCTACCAAGATAAGTTGCAATGGCAAGTATGCTTTCCCAAAAGGTTCACAGTGTAATGTAAATATGCAAGCTGTACATGAGGTAAGTTTAGTTATTTGCATTGCATCTCTTTGTTCTTGTATTATATTTGCTACGTGTTTCTCGGGAACGTAATAGTGGTCACTGAAGGCATTGATTGTGTATTTGTAGTGCCTTTCAAGAATTAATCCCGTCCACATTTTGGAGCCATTATGCCCTTTTGCTTCTCCAAGGCCAAGAGTAGAAATAGGAACAGGACTTAGGAGATGGCTCCATGAGAATTCCTCTGGCATACCTCTCCAGTCAACTCCTATATTTTGCAGGGTACCCTTCTCTCTCTCTCATAAGTTACAGGGTACCCCTCTCTCTCTTTTATATTTTACAGAGTACACTTCCTACAAATTGGTTTGTCTCTTTATCTCATGTACACAACATAACCACTGATTTTCTTTCAGATTCTTTTGTTTTTCTGTTAATATTTCACATTCTCAAAATGGTATGCAGACATATGGATATATA